TGTAGACTGTGCGACAGAGAAAGGTGCCACCAAATCTTTTAGTCGGCGATGGAATTCGGCAAGTTGTAAAACGGTGACTACGGGCGCCATATTGAATCAATAAAGCACTACGGCAAGAACAGTACATGACTTTTTTGAGAACGGTGCTAAATAAGTAAGTACTGTCACTACATTTATCGCACGGAATTTCACTAAACCGGTAAGAAAAATATTTGTCTTTGTTTCTTTGTCGTTGACTCATTAACGAAGCTGACATAGACATGTCTGTCCTACAACCACTTTTCTAGTTTTCAGCTTTATACTAAAGTAGGTGCGTGGTCTTGTAGAATGTTACTAATAAAATCTTTCAGATAGAAATGACATTAAGTCGCAAAAGGTATTAGGATTTTTAAAGACTGTTTGCTTTATCGAGGTGTCGTTACCATGCTTTTTAAAATAAAATAAATTTGAAGTTTCATTTATATTTGTGGACGTTTCGCATTCCTCCTGGAAGAAAGGCATAACTTCATTTTACTACTTGTTACAGGTCTTTTTTTCATTAAATTAGGTACTTTATAGGGTCAAGAAGAAATGACAGTACTTAGGATATCTATTTTAAAGTCATTTCGCAGTTTCTCAGTTCTTCACTGTACAGGATTATAATAAAATCATGAAGGACTCAGATAGAACTTAAATCAGCACTCTATCGGTAAAATTGGCTTGAAAGCACTCTCGTCTCGCTCGCATTGGCTTCGGCATTAATATTTCACCGTGCATTTTATGTATATATTTAACAAATAGTTCGAATCAGATGCAATATATGCTTGATTATATGATGATACCGAACTCACACTGTGATGGTCACGGAAAGCCATTTTATATAAAAAAAAGAAGCAACATACGTCTGATATTTCGACATTTTTATTCAGAATATCGCTTCCAGAATTTTTGATTTGCTTTCGTACTTTTTGACAATAGCGTCAAATGTAAAAGGTTTTACGCAGTCCTTTGTTCTAAATCAGGAACGGAAATGCAACGGTAAGGAGATTTCGAGACGAAGATATGGTGTCACGACAATAGAGAGTACAGCCTTCTGGGCGTAAATGACTACACTTCCCTAGGAGCGTAGAGTTGTCATATTCCGAGTATTATTTTAGTTGTACCTACACGTTGTAAAAATAATTTGGAAAAAATTAAAGTATTCATCATAGTAGTCTCGTGCTATATTGAAATAACATTTCGTTGCCTTGGTTGAACAGGGTATCAACTCAAAAATTCGGACTTTTCACTTTGAAATACATATGAAAAAAAAATCGAGATCTTTCTAACGAACGTGGTCTTATAATGATCATGAGGTAGAGTAGTATCTCTGAACTCTTTGCACGTTTTGACCCCAAACATTGAACAACACAGTCGTATTCAGTATTACCTATGAAGCGGTAGACAAGTCGTCGTCATTTGTTGGACAGGGTATTAATACTAAAACATAGCATGTGTTAATGTATTTTAAAATATTTGTTTCTAAATTGTTATGATAAAATATAGTATAGAGTAATTTCTTTTGATACTACTATGTTCCTCAAAGTTTTATCGAATTGAATACTATTCCTTCTTTCATTTAAAAGTATTAAGCATGAATAGTTTAGTCTTTGAATCACAAATATTTTATGTTCAAAGGTGTAATATTATAGACCTTTCTGAACAATTTCAGGATTTTGGCAAAACGGAACTGAACAAGAATAAGAAGTATTAAAAATACTGTTAAATGTGTAGGCTTTAAATATGTACAAATGAGGAGAACCAAATAACAATAGCCGTTGAAATAATGTTAGAAGAAACTTTAAAATTGCCCTTCTGAAAAATCTGTGTTTTTGAGGTAATACCCTTTTCATCTGGACCCACGATTTGTTAAATGTAGTAGTTAGTACCTACGAATTTGTATTTTTATACCAAAATGACGGATTGGTATCTTGATTAAGGAATATGGTCATGAAATAGGAATAAAATGCTAAACAATTCTGAATTTCAGGCCATCTTGTTCAAACTACCTGTCGGGCTTTAATACGTAGGTATCTTCGCAAATGCATAAAATGATCTATCCACCTTCCCTTTGTTCCTAAAAATGCACTTATTTGAGGGTAGGACATTCCCCGTTTTGACGGGTTCTGTTGCAACTACGCCGCGCTAGCGAAAGGTCGCTTTGACGCGATATCACTGTATCAGCTATCCAACGGCAATATTTGATGTCACTTTACTAACACCGAGCGACCGCACGCGTGTGTTACGGTCTGCGCTATTCAATGCAAATGCACTACCAGATTTTGCGAATGTATGCGGGACGTGCATGCATATAAGCTGCGCTGAAACGTTTGTATGGAGTTACCCTACTTGGCCCTATTTTTAACCGACTTGAAAAAAGGAGGAGGTTCTCAATACGACTGCATATTTATTTTCGTATGTACTTATGTTGCGCGATAACTCCGGACACATCTGTGACCCGATTTTGATGATTTCTTTTTTGTTGGAATGAGGGTACCTCATTAGTGGTTCTATTTAAATTTTAAGAAAATATTCTACCTCTCTCTAGGATAGCAAACTAGGGGATGTATCAGGTTTCGCGCACTTTCCGGTAACCGATTTCAATAGAACTTGGCAAATAGATGTAATTCCACGAACTTTAGAGGGCGGGTTTCTTTTGTTTTTAAAGTTACAATTAAACTATGGTGCAGTTATCTACAAAATGTGAATTTGTGTCGAAACGAATTTATCCGCTCACGCGATGCGCTCCTGCTACCGCAAAATGGCGGATATTTGGTTTCGCAAGTTAGAAAAGCATTCAGTTTAAATACAAGTTTTTATAAATAAAAATTATTATTCTGCATTGCTAAATAAATACCCTCCGTACTACCAACAAAAACATCTCAAATAAAATGCAGTAATACACCGCAAATCCTGCACTTAAAAAGCACTAATGAAATTTTTGGTGTACTTGGATAAATATGATAATATTCCGTGTCAGTGGTTCTAACGTTTACCATGAAATTACTCCTTAAAGTATAGTTTATAAACACTTATATTCAGGGTAAATTTAAAAAACGCTAGTTACGGTATGTTTTCAACAAATAAATACCGAAATCACCAGCCCAAACAATAACACTCACGATTGTCGTGACATATTT